AAGGACTTACTATTGAGACAACGTATTACAAAACGAAGTTTTGGAAGTGCTTTTGTCCACGCCGTAGCTACGCTTGATTTCACTACAAAAACTTTGCTTTGCGACTCAGTATATTTCATAGATTTGCCAATGTGCGTTTGAATCACTGGCAAATCAGTGTCTCAGGCGATATTTCTCTTATACACACGGTACAACAAAGTGAGAAGAGTTTACATGATATTACATTTTAGTGATATATGAATCTGTGATGTTATGAATAGTAGTCAAAAAATATTTTTAGCTATTCCTCCACAGTTTTATTTAACTAAAAAGTAAGATTTCTCCCGCAAATTCTTAGGCGCATATTATCTACGCAGCAAAAGAGACCACTAACCCGACAAGTAATTACTTTTCCAAGTAAGCTCTCAGCCCTTTCCATCCCTTCACCGTAATCGGGCGACTGCACTCCTTCAGTATCGCAGTTTGGTACCCTGGAAAATTCAGATTGTATTACACATAGGAAAATGAGAAATTTAGCTTTTATCTTCTTCACAAAGACAACATCGAATTTCACAAACCTATAAATCTGCACATGAAGCCGTCCAGCCACTTCACCCTGATGTGAAATTATTGGCACCTGAAAGAGTTGACTTCAAAAAAAAAAACTAAGCAATAGCGAGGTTTCCAAACCTGATAGTCAAGCTTCATATCATGGAACAAAACCTCCAAGAACACGTTGGCCACCCCAATCAGATTGTGATGCTCCTGGAAATGTAAGTTTTTCCGAAACAAAAACTGCATTTTGGCTAAGCAGACAGAAGTCAATCAAATTTACGAGCAAGCTGTGCAAGACTGAACACACAGCTCTCTAGAAACTACAAAAGCCGTGCAAGATTTTTGAGAAATTTAGTTCACCTGACTCTCGAAGAAAGGATCGATCATGACTTCATCCACTGATGTTTGCGCCACCGAATGTGCTGGTGATCCTTCAGGGCTAGAGGCACATGATGACTCCCTAAATGATCCAAATATACCAGTAAGGACGGGTTATCAAAACAGAATGTTTTTACCGTATGACTCCGTTTAGTTTGTCATTGTACATTTCTCTCATATCAATCAGTTTGTTCTCCAGCTGCGCAACCGTCCACAGTTGGCTACCGCTCATTCCTGCACGGCGGACAACTATCACAGGTTCACAAACAAATGTGCCAGCCTGATGTACAACATTGTCATCTGCATCATCACGTAAGAGTTATGGCTAAAGCACCTTGATTTTGCTTGGTCTCAGGTTCGCAGCAGGAATTTGAAGAGTCACGTCATAAGTGGTTTGCCGTCGAGAATTTCCAAGCTCACGGCTGATCATGTTGGCCTCACGAGTCAGGGCATTTGCCCGGACCACATCGCTCTTCAGCCTCTTTAGAGACTCTGCGAACATCTCCTCCCTGAATGGTAGAATGGGCGGAGTGAAATCCAAATCAAAAGTACAAGAGCGCATATTTTGACAAAACGCACTTTCTTTGAGCCCAATAGAAGAACTTGCTGCGAACCATCTGCTTCGGATTTGCTGGGAACGGAAAAGGCGGTAGAGCAGTGCCCGGCGTGCCCAATGGAGTTCCAAAACCATATCCAGGAGTCATCGGTGTGGATGGGGTGAATCTGGAAGAGACGGGAGTGAAAATCAGTGTAGCATCGCTAGCGATGGACAATGTATTCAGCGTTGACGTCACCGTTTCTGAAGAAAATGTCAGAATAACGAGAAGGGAAAAGTGCAGTGCTGCTGTTGATTGGCAGTGAAAAGCGTGGTAATAGAATAGACGACGCAGCAATGCCGACTTTTTCGATTTCAGACTGCTTTCGCTAAACGTTCAACTCACCCTCCAGCTGTTAAATTTTGGATGTAGCGTTCGAAAGCTTCATACTGCCGTTCGAGAGCGGCCTGCTTGTCTTCCTGAGAGAAAAAAGATCATTTCGGTTAACAAATCTGCTAATGGCGCATTTACTTGATGCTTCAGGGTGACTTGCTCCATGTACTGGTCAACTGCTGTTGAGATAGGATTTCCACCACCATCGCCGTTCACCTAAAACCCGCAAGTTACGATAAGCTCACAAAAAATTGAGCTTGTACCTCATGCCATGCGTCATCGTAGTCAAAGAGTACGCTCTCATCCATGACAGATTGATTCATGTCGACATCCTAAATTTCATTCGTGAAGTTGAGAAAATTTTGTAGCAGCTCAATAGCGCATCCAAGGTTGCTAATGCCAAAACAGCTCAAATTTTATCAGAATTAGCCCAACCTGAGTCTGAGCTAAACTCAGATCTAAACAGCTTTAGCCAAAGCTTGCATGGTAAAACATTGCTAAAGCTAATTATGAATGCAATTCAGCTTGGAAAAATAGCAAGAACATATTCTTATTCTCAAACCTAACACAATTTCAAAGACACTATATTCATGTTTTCAAATTCCACTTCAGGATAGAAGTAACTAGCTTATAGAATTTTCTTCGCTATCTATAAACCATCATGAACGTAAAATTCGGTTCCCTGCACCTTCCAATCCCCAGGTCACACCTATTCACTATCACTATCACTTCGCTATAGGTACAATAATATAACCACTGCTAAGACTAAGTTGACATTTAATTCAGAAAACAACTTTCGCAAAAAAAAGAAGTCACTACGAAAAAGGGCCTCCAGCATCCCTTTTGCGGCTGTAGCTTTCGGATAACAATCTCTTAAAAGCGCTTGGGGTTACACTTACTCACGGCATCTTGTACAATCATTCGGTAAGACGCTTTTCAAAAATAATGAACTTGAAGGTACAAAATTTTTGCAAGACCCCTTCGCTGTTCTGAGACATCCACGGCGATGTTCTGTTACTTTACGACTGTCCTTATCAATATTTCACACTTTTTCTC